GAGAATGCCTTCCTTGTGGTGGTAACTGCGAATAAGTCTAGTTTGCTTTGCAAGCGAGATGAATAAGCCATCGCGGACAATCAGCGGCAGTGACTCAGATCGTGGGGAGTTCTGGGCTGGTCAGTTGGTTCTCCACTAAATAACACAGGTGCTCGTACGGCGCTGTGTCAAAGCCAATGTGACTGGACATAGTGTCACTGACCACTCACTCCTGTAACTGGGGATGAGTAGCTAACGGAGGGCGGATGAACAACATCACTGGCCACCGGCTTCTCTGTGGACTGTTTCCGAACATAAAGAAAGTGAATCAGTCGTTTGGCTGTCAACGGTCTTCGTGAATCATCCCGCTGACTTGCGGGTCAGGTCTTTAGACCAAACGCTCGGGGTGGGGTCCGTTAAGTAAACCCTCTTCCTCGGCCTGGGTAATCGGGATGCTCAATACCCACACAACACACGGAACTTTGCTTCCATTCCTCTGACTCACTCTCTTCTTTTTGTTATCGTTACTCGTGTATTGTGGCACTCTACCAAATGTTTATTGGTCGAGCGTTATATATATATATATATATATATATATATATATATATATATATATATAATGCCCACTTAGGTATGATGTCAACCACCCAAATAGTGGGTCTCTGATACCAAACGACGCGATTCTTTTCACATGTACATGCACTGTGTGCTCAAAACCAGCGGTCGCTCTTGGTCTGAGGAGTAGGTCACTCGCCGCTTCTCTCTCATCATAATATCAATACTGAAGTAAAGCTCACGCGCTTCTTGTCCGATCAGCTGTGGTGAAGTGCAGGAACTAGAACCGGTTCAGCACGCATCTACTAGTCTCCTTCACAAGTTACCGGGCACGTCGAACGAAAACCGATACCGGAGACTAACGCCGCACATCTTATAGTCGACTTCAAATTGACCTAATAATGAAGCACCGGATACAACAGCCGGGTAACTTCTATATGGTGCGGCAGTAAATCACCTGCGCGATACAAGCGGCAATTACGTGCACCGTTACAAGCTCGTAGTACCGGATCTGAGATATTTATATAACCATGTGACTCATGCTGAGGTCGAGACTGCATGCCTCATGCTTCTTCACCACAGTAAGGCTACACCGACTTTCACTTAAACTAGATCTTCTTAACCAGGATAAAAATTATTTCACTTTATTTGATGCGCTCAGTTCTGTTATTCTATTGAATGTTCCGTGTCAACTTTGCGTGTTTATTTTCCTTCAAATTCTCTGTTACTTGTTTGAAATCTCCGGTATCGCTACGCTTGGAGTCAGTGTTGACAAGATACCTAACGGTCTAACCCCCTCCGTCTTGACTACTGGCTCCAAATGACTGTTAATCTTTCCTGGAGGGGGCGGGGTGCACGGTCCTCGTGGCCGAGCTAGGCTCAGTGATTCCATGCATTCAGTGTGGAACGGGCTACGTCCTAGCCACCGCCTTGTGCATGTCCGATATACAAAAGATCCCAGTTAGACGTGAATGCTTCTTCTCTGCCTGTTGAAGGAGCGTGGGTCGGCTCAGCTGATGAAACGTGGCTCCCATCCACTTGTCTGCCAGTCTTATTCTTTCGGGTTTAGATTGAATAGGGTGTGTATGGATGGAGCTGTGTGGTTAAGCGCAAGCCACCCATAGTCCTTTTGTAGGCGCCGGAGTCCTGTGTCTGTCCTATGGAGGCCACAGTGGCAGGCAAATCCGGAGCCGGTTGCTGATAGTCATATACGTCTGAAGAATCGAGTCATAGCATGTTTGCCAGAAACAACTTTCCAGGAGAAGCTTATGGCTAAATTCAAGGAATTCCCAGACATTCATTGTGCGGACTCAGGATTTCGAGAACGCATCATAATTAGATAAGATGCTGAACAATTGAGCTACTTTGACAGTCGACTGAAGTCTGTGACGTTATTTCGCGTGTGTCCGCTTAAATTACAATGGGAAACAGCTATATAGCCTCTCGCACTCTAATTCAGGGCTCAGTATTCCGGAGTGAACAAGCGACCGATAAAGGGCTATCAAGACGACACAATTTACGCAGCCGTCTCATACCGCAGGTCCCAGAGGTAGTAAGGAATTCCCTCACCTCCCTTCCTGAAGAGATTAATTCGAACGCTGGACATACCATGCGTTAGGAACTAGGTATCGGTAATCTATGGGCGAAACCGCGTTTCAGTTATCAGGGTCAGCTCCCGGTTGCATGGTAGATGACATATTCAAGTTCAGTAACGTTGTTGAGGAGGCCTTTGGCATTGGTGCGCATGCAGGATAGGTGGCCACCTACATCAACGTTATGCGACCAGTTTCCTCCATATGCTTCAAACAAACTTCCCATTCCGTTCGCTTGCTCGGAGAACGGCTCTTTAATTTGGCTCAGGAGATACCCTACTGCTAAAGCATACTAGTACGCCAGTGCCGTTGCTGCCATCTACTTAGCTCGAAGTACCACCAGTGTCTTTTTGAAAATTGCAAGCTGAATAGCTTTGAAAAATATTACGTCGCAAAGTAATCCAGGGAAAGGTCCCCAAGGATTTGCTTCCTATGCTTCATATAATTCATCCTCGGAAACATGATGAACAAAGATGTTCCTGTCTGTTGCTTTTTTCCGGTAGTCTTCACGACACACTTTGTCTGTTTATGCTGACTTCATAGAATAGGGAGTAAGACATGTATCGAACAGCAGATTCTTCAGAGATGAGCTATAGATAGCACTACTGTTTCCACCTTTCCAAATGAATTTAAAAAAGCCACGCGAAATCCCAGGTCACCGTAGTGTTGTCAATCCAAGACAAGTCAAAGTAAACTATAAAGGGTACATTTTCAGCATGTTACCATATTCCCTGCGGATGTTTTAATGCAGCATCATTAAAAAGGCAACACTGTAAAATTGGAAAGCATCAGTAGGAGTGCAAGTGTCGCACGAATAAACCATCCCAAATCTGCATCCGGTTGACGGCGCAGCAACGAAGACCAGTTTATCGATCCGGACGAGGGTTTGATGTTACAAAACACCATCTGATAAGCTCGTGAGTTCGTCGCAATCAGCCGACAACTCAGCTAACACCGCTACCAATCCGGAAAAGAGCTAGACGGCCGTTTCGCCCTATTGAGGCTCGTCATTGGTGCGCATCCTTCCGTCCTCTTCCCAGGATCAAACCCATGACTGCTAGTGGCTTGCACCAATTAGCCCGCAGCTTATGCCACTGAGCTGTGGGGGTCAGTAGCCGAGCATCATGAATTGCTAGTTAATTGTGATACAGCCCGACCCCTCCTCCACTGTCATGCAGGCACCTGCCATGCAGATGGCAGCGCTTGACCTTCTGGCGTCAAGACTTTCCGGGTACGGCAGCAATGAATCGACATAGCATTTATGAATTCTGTATGGGGGCATTTGTATTACTTATGAGCCACTAGCAGTCATGGGTCCGATCTTCTGAAGAGGACCGAAACATGCGAACAACTTAAGTGTCCCAATAGAGCAAAACCGCCCTCTAGTGCTTTTCTGGATTAGTATTCGAGTTACCTGAATAATCGGCTGTTTGCGACGAACTCAAAAATCTCACCTAATTCCTTCTGCTCATAAGTAATACGCCTTCTGGTAACTTCGCACGAAAAGCGCCCATTTCCAAAAATCGGCGAAGGACAGAATTAGTGATTTTCTAACTAGTAAAACGGAAAAACATGTCAAAGCGCTAAGTGAAAACAAATAAATCTGCATCAGATAAAGTAAGAAGTATGTTCCAGTGAAAAAACATCGGCCGAATTCAGACCTCCCAACAATTTTTTTGGGGGGGTTGGCCAAAACCCCTGACAGGGGAAGTTACGCTGTGAATTTCATTCATATGCCAGCAGAATCATTTACCAAATCTCTGGTCAGGCCAGTAGTTGTAGCATTCTTGGAAAGGCATACATGTTCGGCCTTGTCAGTCATTATTTGTCCTAAATTTCGATGGCGAAGTAAACGACATTCTTCCACTCAGCTGAACTCTTTTATTCTTTTAGTTCTCTTGCCCCAATTCTAATAATTTCAACATCCGTTTCCTATGAATTCAGTGATCCTTTTCCTTTCCCCAATAGCTGTTGTAACGTGTTACTATTATTAATGTGACTCTGGCCTGGGTCACTGTGTCCATCAAGTCTCAGATATATTAGGACTTAGTCAATTAACTAACTTATCGATGCAAGCCATCAATGAGGATATGCTTTCACCAAATTGCGCGAATAGAACTGGGTCACCAACTGTGAAAACGGAACTAGTCCAAGGATTAACAGTACAAAGTATTCCGGCCAATTCGTGTTTCACTTTGCATCTCAAAGTTCTCGTATTTTTGAGGACAATATCCGATCACCTACCACACGTGTGACGTCGTGGCGTACACATCGAAGCTACCAGCCTCAGCATTGCTGCACATTGCTGTGCACTAGATTTTCCCTACATTTGATGACATGACTAAGTAGCAGCATGTGGCATTTCATGAATCTGGCATGAACAAGGAACAGTGAACATGGAGTAACTAGATAAAATAATTTCACCGCGATTTTCCTGAATTACATTTTTAGATTAGTTACCATGAGATGGAAGTCAGTATTACCATTAGGCTATTTACTCGGTAGTAACTTGCATTCTGGCGCGTACTGCATCAGTTGCAAATATGTTTGGTCCAAATAAGTTGCATTAGGGCTTAGCTCCATCAACCCGTTTGCAGATCTGTCGATGTTAATTACCGTTTTAACGGCTGCCATATTTACAGCTGAGCACTGCGCTTAGGCCGGAAGAATTCACTAGGCTGCAACCTGCAAATCCATTACCTGAAGACAAGATAAAGCCAAAGCAAATTTGAGACATGACTCATAATTTAGAAGTTGGACGAACTGCTTAACAAAATCCAAAAGTTAGATCTTTTGTTTTGGATATGTTCAGTGGTTCCTCTCCATAACATTCGCTCTCCAATCAGAAACCTTCTCTCTACTTTATCCATTTAGTGAGCATCTTCAGTGGAGAAAGTTATGAAGATGAGACCCAGGACAGTAGCGATTACGGGGCTGAATCCCGGAATAGTCAAGGAAGATTACCAGAAGAACTACAGTTTCTCAAAACTCGTGATCTCTTGTGCCATCTGGCTCAACATCTACAACAAGAATTAGCGAGCAGAGTGCGTTTCGATTTGACATCAAAAGTCACCAAAGGATGGTCTTCTTCTGTGGATTCGACGTACTTGAATCAATTAAGGCACAACCTGGTTCTTAAAACTTTAAAGCAAGCAGACGCCGGACGCGCTTTCCATGTACGTTGGCTCCTCGGTCATTTTGGAAGTTTGTCTTTCATTTCCTTCGTTGGAGATGCGTAGCTATACTGAAATGGAGGATTGTTGGGTGCTTCCTAGGCGAGTGGAGACATCAATCTGTAAAATCTGGACTGACCTTATACAAGACTGAAGTCCAACCGTATTCGCGAACGTTGTATATATGTAACTAATGGTGTTGTTAACAACGTCTGCAAATTATTTTCATTGTTAAAAGAATAGTTCGAGGCAGATTTGATTTCCTGGTTTGCATGCTAATTGCAGTATACTCCAATGCGTAATAAGCACGTAGCATAATGCCTACCTGCTAAAGGACTCAGTTTTGTTTCGAATGAGCCGAAGAGTGTTGGGTAGCGCGACGTTACATTGCAATGTCTGAGAGTATTCAAACTGCTCGTTAATTCAAAGCCCTGTCTGAGCAATTTCTAGTTGCATGCTAGACGATTCAATTTGTCGTCTGCATTCTAACTCAAAAATCTTTGCAATGCGGAAGAAATTGCGGCAGCTAAAAAGTGGTACTTTTTCTTTATAATTACAAATTTCCAATCCGCTTTTCTGTGTAACACCACTGACGAACAACTGGGTAGCAGTTTACTAAATGCTGAAGAAGGTTAACCAGGTACAGGTAAATCGCGAACCGCCATCCCAACGGTGTCAAATTCCGTTTCAACAAGAGTTGGATTCCGCACACCGTGTAATTTCGTTCTCTGAAAACCTAATTACACCAGTCCAATAGCAAGCATTTTTATATGATTCTAGCCGTAGCTCTCTTGGTACTCGCATTTATCAATATATGTATCCATATAAGCCAGTCCCTGTTTGTTGGTTGTCCTAGTGCGTTACAGCAGGTTTACACGGGGAGCTGTTCGACTTACTTTTGAATACTCCGGAGTTGATCAACGTCCGGGACACATCGGGATGCGGTTTATTGCATCGAGCTGTTGAGAAGGGATATGCGGAAATGGTAAACTTATTGGTCTCGAGAGGAATAGGTAAGCACCAATTTTGTGGGATAAATTCTTTTTTGGTGGCAATTCTGTACTGCGAAGAGCCGAAAGCAGAACGTTTCCTTCCATTGTCTATTGTTGTTGTCATCTTGCCAAATCGCTTGGCTGTGAGTCGCGTCTGTCAAATCCCCTTCATGCACACTCGTTGAATTTAAATCAATATTTCTATTAAAAACGCCAGCGTATGCACAGTTCAAGATTGCTGTTGTCATTTGCGTATGGTGGAAATCATTTCACTACGTTTGGCATGCGTTGCAGTTGTAAAGTACAATTGTAGGTTTTAGAGTGGGCGGTTCGATAATCGTTCATGCAATTTCTCCCAAGTAGACATGACATAGTCCCCCAGTTCCAAAACTTCAAACTAAATTCTGCTGACTTTTGCGTAAATTGTCAATTGTGGAGTCCAGTGTTGTTCAGTGACAGTTCTGTCATTATCAACCGATTTCAGCCTTACATGAATTACATTGGTGCAAGCAGCACGAATCTGAGTAGAACCCGTGAATTAGTATTTTGTGCGTGAACATGGGCCGTGATGAGTAGATTCTAATTGACAAACGTAACTAACTTCATCCAGTTCAAACAGAAAAGTAGGATAATACAAGCTGCCTTTTAATGATGATTTGCTTGTTAATATTACACTCGGTACATGTTGGTAGTTAGTACATTCTGTCTATATGGTGATGACGGCGTATATAAACTATGCATTACCCTTTCTAACTGAAAAGTGAAATTGAGACCAAACTGTTGACCGAGTGCTGTTTGCTGTGCAAGTAACAGCGCGAAACGTGTTTCGCTGGGAAGGCTTCCGGATTCACCTCAAGCTTGAGACCGCGTGCTTTAATCCAAATATGCAACGATTAAACCAGCCAATTTATTCACCAATGAAACAACTTCTTACCTAGGGCTATGCTCGTCTCCATTCATGAATCCTAGTATCGCTGTGTGACAGTCACAGGGTCCAGTGTTCGAATCCTCTTTCTTACCAGGAAAAAGTAGGAACAGCATACTGCGCATATTGAAAAGGCTTCCAAAAACAAAGATATATTTAATAACACTGTGTAGTGGCCGACAGTCTAGTTATGAGGTGGTGCACAATTATTTAAACCATGCTGGTTATCCAGAAATGTAGTCGATCGACGTATGTTTATTTTGTGCGGTGTACGCTCTATTTATCATTCACGGTCACTTTTAAACATTGCTGTAAAAGACCATGCAGTGTGGTTGATGTTATCACACAAACCATAAAATCGTAACTCTTAAATTTAAGTCTTTGGCAAACAGCTTGGCTAGATTTCATCATAACAAAGTTCAGCGAGCGACAACACAACTCGTTTAGGCAAGTAACTTAATTTGAGCTTTTATTATTCGCACCTTTCATAAAGTTGTGTAACCGAGAACCGTGCTACTAACTAGGTTGTATACTACCAGGTCTACTGATTATGCAGTATATTATAATCCGTAGTACTGGTAGCCGCTATTAGCGAAAGGGCCTCTGTTTTTTTCTAATACAACGTATATGTCCGCAAAACAGCTTGTTCTTCTCTGGATGCAGGGTGCACATATGGTCCGACCGAGATTCCAATAACAGTTTTCTTTAGGTCGCTTTACCTCCTGGACTGTAGATTAACCCGAATTTAAGAATCAATTTCAGGCACTTTGCCAACGGTAGGTGTATCCAATTGATCGAAACGTTGGTACGCTTTCTCCCTGTTTGCTAAGTGACTAATGAACGTGTTGCCTCATATTGAAACAATGCAGTTGACTAATCGTGCACACAGATGAGGTGGTCTGCACATCCCACAGTTGCGAAAACGCCTTTCATGTTCTTGATATGCAACTACTGTTTTGCATGTCTTCTCATCGGGCTGTAGTTAAACAGAGAGCAGTTCCATCACTTATGACGTAAGCCTTGTCATATCGTAGGGACCACGTGACATGACAAATTGAGACCTGTATAACAGCTACTAGGTGCAAGTTCTCTGTAATGCTACAGTGTAAATTTCGTACCTCGTTCAATTTATCAAATCTCGTACATCAGGATTTAAGTCATGACTTACGGAGCTACAATCTCAGAGAAACAACCTTCACTATACACCTGAAACTAAACATCTAATTTTTTCACCGATACCAACGTTGTTTTATGTCTTGAAGTTTTTCAAATTTCGTGCTGGGTTTTCCCATCCAACCCTGCTAGATATCAACGCAGAAAACAATGTTGGAGACTGTCCATTGCATCTAGCTGTTCAAACCTCCCGAATCGATATAGTGACAAAGCTACTGGAGTATGGTGCTAATCCAAGGTGCACAAACAAAGAAGGAGAACAGCCTATTCACATGGCTGCGCAGGTCAACTTTGTGGAAGGAGTAAAGGTGGGTTATTAGAGCATTGTCTGCAGGAGTATCACTTAAATGGTTCCATTTCGTGACTTAACTCTGCTACAGATCCGATCAGACTTCCTGTATCTTACTTGGATACGTTGGACAACTAAACTCTCCTATCATTCAGACACATGTTCTATATGCGCCATCAGTTGCACATATTACTTTCGATCTACTCATTAATACATTCCGATAGAATTTACTTTACAGAACGGTCTGATATTTTATTAGTGACTCATCCTACTAAAAGTCGCGATATCTTGCGTAACCTCGACTTCCCAAAAGCAACACAACACCTGTAACATTGATCTCTATCGTTTGGTGCATATTTACTGCACGTCCCAACAAATCAGTATATCATTGGTTGTAACATGTTATTTTTTGTGTAAATAGCTTGAATTGTAGCTTACATGAAGTAACAGATGTCATTCTGTTTCGGTGTGAATCCCTGGAAGCGAAGTCTGTTTATTCTACCCTTATTTTTCTATACCAGTATGGAAAATGAATGAACACGTAACGCATCTAACAGACTCGGTATAACCTTGTGATGGTTTAGCAGTTGTTTCAAATATAGTGCAACATCTCAGTTAATGATTATCTTTCCTCTCAGTTACTGCTTATCTACCCGGAAGTCATCGTTGACTGCCTGGATGCGCGCAAATCGACACCCTTACATCATTGTTGCTTGGCGGACAGCGAGGACTGCCTGAAAATGCTGGTAAGTTCATAATTTTATCGCTACCTAAACAACGAGACCTCATGAAATCGAACAATAAGACCAATGTCCAGTTCAGTACATTATACAATATGCTTCTCCCGTAGCTCCAAACTAATAAAACACCGCGTTGGCCGGTGGCCGAGTGGTCTGCACGTTTGCTTTGCAACCATAAGGTCACCGGTTCGAATCCGCGTAGGGGTGGGCGTCCTCGCGGTATACTCAGCCCGCGCGCGACTAGTGGTGGTCGCGCGGCAGCGAAGCGCTGTTACGGCATACAGCTGACACATTATATTATTTATTATAATAAAACACCGCATTGTTGGCGGGATCTTGCGCAGCAGACGATAAAAGAAAGACGATGACTTCGTAAGTACGTATGGATCCATCAAACTGCCCCAATTACAGCTATTCCGAACTGGGTGGGTCTCAGGTTGGTTAAGGACTGACTTACTGTTCCTCAAAACAGCAAGTCACAGTGAGTGATCCAGTGATCTATTGAGACTACAAAAATGTTGCGCCCAAAAAGCTAAAGGATTGAACTCGGAACCGGAAGACTGTATGGACACAATGGAACTACAGCACGACAGTTTCACATTAAGGCGATATCCTTAGGATAATACGGTTGATTGAGCCATTCGGAAACTAGAACAGGCCCAGTCTACTAAACGTTAACGCTTAGCAAGATATGATAACTAATCAATAGCATGGATGGATTATCATGTCCAAGTGAACCGCATGGAGACACGACAGATGATATGGAACAACTAATTGAGCCGATCGTTAGATCAATAGGAAGAGCGCGCAAGAAGAACCATATGAAATGGTTGCCACCTGGTGTTGGTAAATGTTTGTAGCTCAACTAGGTTCAAAATAATGTGCACGCGGAAATCAGGAGCCTATAAGGCATGAACTGTACGATCGTTGATAGCTAAACTTGAAGAACCATCACATTGTGATCGATTTTCATATGCTCATTCCCATTTTATCGTCAACAGCTGGCTGTTTTGTATTGACCAATACTTGCTGTTTGTCCATCGTGTGCTTCGGTTGGCCTTGGCCTCTATACATATACTAGCGACTGCATGTAGGGTAAACATAGGGGCATAAAAAACATAGAATACATGTGCGTACTAAACACAAAAATCGCAACAAGGGAAACGGGATAAAAGGTTTTATGTACGTTCACGTACCGTTTTGTCCTTTTGTCAGCTAAATTGGTTCCGTGTTGATCAGTAGAATCATTACATAAATCCACACAAACCTTCCTTGTAGCTCGATTCCATGCCGTCCTTAAGAGTTCCTAAAGCGCAGTGTTATTTATCCTTGGCCCCGTAGATATACGGGACAGACAGCAACTAGACTGGAGGCCAGCGTTTTGACGTTTTGTTGCCTCGTGCGATTGCTTCCTTTCCGGCTCTGCGCGAGCTAATATAGCGCGCTGCGTTAGTAGCTCTTGCGGCACGGGTAGGATGTGGCGCATTGGTATTAGATTGTGGGGAATTAGGCCTGTATTATCTAAGGTGCGAAGTCTGACATCGCAGTTGCAGACGTAATGTTCTTACCCAACAGGAGCTATCCTCCGCAGCAAATCGTTATCAAAAGCAGAGATTCGACGCTTGTCCCTTACACCAATCTTCCGGGACTCACTTTCAAGCAACAGTAGAGTCACACGTGCCTCAGGATAAGGAAAGATGACCGGGCTTTGTCAACAATAATGAAAATTTCCCTTCAAATGGTGCCATCAGCAGAAACGTAGCTCCCAAGGTAGATCAGGCTATCCACTTGTTCAAGCAGAGAGACTTTAAGTCATCATCATAAACAGCAGTACATTAGCCACTTGAACTGGTACCATGGTGGCCTACGGAACGAAGAACAATAAGAGGGAGAGAAAGGGACCCACGGCAAAACCCTAATGCCCTAAACACTCGGGGACAATGCGCCTACATCTTGTCAAGATCATACCGTCACAAACAGCTAGGTATCACGTAAAGATAAGACGGCATCGGTGAGACAGCTTTCTTCCTACTTTCATTGCCCCACATCATAATCAGCCAATACCACGCAGGTAACTCTCACACACACTTCAAACGGGCAGTCCGACTAGGAGACGACACCAGACACGCTACGGGTATCAACTGCTAGCCATGCCCTGTAACGTCTCCAGCCAAGCACAATGCTACTCACGTGGACTCCAGCCGGGAAGGCGAGACGGACCGACAGCGCTCATTTTGGTCGTCAGTGATTTCATTTCCCGCTGCCAAGTTAATTTCTGTCCACCCCGGGCCTTGCGCCACCCTACATCTGGCGCACAAAATAGGCTCCTCTTAGGTAAGCGGTCACCGGGCATACATAGTACGTGCCGAAGCAAACGCAATGTAGTCAGTTTTATCTGTTGTTCTGAGGAAATAGTCTAATTATCACTGCTTGGACTCGCTTCCACACATCATCGCTTCGGACAAGCTGGTGTCATCCGACGTTAGAAATTCCTCGCAGATAACGAGGATCAAACACCTGAAGACGCCTCAAATCCTCAGATCGGATGGATCAAGCCTCGCTATTATACAGTAGGACGGCCTTCGCTTTGACTTTGTATACATGGCCTTTTAGTCGGAAGGAAACCCCTTTCTGACGCCAAAAAGCAGTTTTAGCTCTTGCAATGCGTGAAATGACTTCAGCTTCTATGCGACCGTCGTTGCTGACGCGGCTGCCAAGATAGGTGAAGTGATGAACTATCTCGACATCCGCGTCATCAAGCGTCAAGAGCTCGTCAAGTGGCTGGGGGTACAATAACGACACTTTCATTCTATATCAGTTCACTTGCGCCTGTGGTGCTAGGTATCACGGACATACGACCAAGCGCCTGTCCAAAAGGATCGCTGAACGCTGCCCGGCTTCTCTAGGAAAAGGCACCGTAAAGAACATCAACTGTTCGATACCTGAGCATTTGGTTGACATAGGAAATCTGACTCACGCAAATTACTCATTCAAAGTTAGACATACCACCCCTGAACGATATTCTAAAAGACTTAAGAAACGCTTGTTAACAACGGCTGAGGCCATTGCAATCAGGGTTTTAAAACCAGAACTGTGTAAACAACTGACAATGGTGTAAACGTTGGTCCTGCAGTGGCCATGAACGCACTCCGGAAACCAGCACTTGTCACGGCTGATCTGCCTGCCCTCACCGACTGTGTGTGTTTTGTCCGAGCGCCGTACCTCGACTGACTAAGACATTGATTATGGCCAGCCATGCCAAGCCGATAGATTCTGTGGATTTCGTGGTTCTCTCCAATTTACACCTAGCCTTCATTAGCCAATCGCTTTTCTAATTTTGCTCTATAACTGTGAATACTTGAATAGCTTTATCAAAAAAAAATGTTCTTCGCGCAATTGTGAGCTTTGCAATTTGAAGTTGTTAAGCGCGTGCCGAATGATGAGATCACCCTAGAGGTTATTCAGCGGTGATTTTGCCGCTCCAACAGCGTTAAAACACATGGCAATATCGTCCGCATTATCAAGATCAACTAACTTTTCACTAGGCAACAGCTCAACGCCTGCCTCTTGAGATTCTGCAAGGGAACATTCCATGATGGAGTCCACGACGAAATAAAACGAAAATAGGAAATTTGACAACGCTGACGAACATCACTTTTTGTCGGAAAACTATCCGGCAGGTTACCGTAGACCCTAACACGCCCTGTAGTGTTCTAGTATAGAGTACGCAAAATGTTCACATATTTTGTGGGAACGACTTTCCGAGCAAGTATTTCGAACAGAATGCATCGATCGACTGAATCGAACGTACTATTGAAGTCGAAGAACACAGCTTTTGTGGATTTGCGTTACATGTTGGGCTGCTTTAGCACCTGCCGCAGTGTGAATACGTGGTCTATACAGCCACCTCCAGGGCGGAAATCTGTCTGCGCTTCCCTAATCCGAGCTTCCCGTTCCACATTGAGGCGACGAACGAGAATTATGGCCGGTAATTTTGTTAAAGTTGGCTTTAGACTAATACACCTGTGGTTAGCCCAGTCGGTGTGACTGCCCTTCTTGTATATTACTACTATAATCGATGCACCCCAGCTAGCTAAGACGCTCGCTTCCTTCTAGACGTGTACGAACAGGGAGGTCAGTTCTTTGCATAAAACCTCACCTCCATCTTTAAGTAGAGCATGTAGGAGGGAATCAGGGCCAGCAGCAAGAGGACGATTAGGGTTGCAATCGCGTTTCGGATTTCAACCTCCGAGGTAGCCTCTAAACTAATTGCCTTGGAGCAGCCTGCAACACCTGCGTATGAAGAGGTCCAGAATCGGGGGTACAATTGAACTGCTCTCGAAAGTGCTCTGCCCAACGATCCATACGACGCTCCTTATTGTGAACCATGTCACCCGCACTGTCTCTGATCGTCTCACTGACACCTAGTTTCCGGGGACCAGTGGTGCGGATCATCTGGAAGCGCTTGTGATAAATGCCAACTGCTCCTGCTTCCTCCATTTTTTGAACTCGACTAGTCCACCAGGCGTCCTTGTCAGCATGCAAGCTCCGGCTTATTTGGTACCTAAGAGTTCGTATGGTCGCATAGTGCTCAGGGCTAGCCGGGAGTTTTCTTTCGGATTCCTACATCTTCGTCGACCTCTAGGATATCCAGTGACTGATACGGTGACGATTTATGGTGCCGCAAGCGGAGGCTCCTGCATATTGCATGGCGGCGCAGATCCTATTTCGCTGAGGCCCTGGGTCATTAGCGCAAAAGAGTGAAAGTTCAGTGCGCAGTGCATCCTTGTAGGTTTGCCTGACCGAGAGCTGAGATACTTTCGCAGTTGCCACTGGAGGGAGGCGCTTTGTACGCCTTTCGGTAAAGATCATGAAAGAACGACAGCGTACCGAGGCGTAACCAGAGTGGACCCAGGTATTCCAGTACGAGCGGCAATCCAGGATGGAACCACGCCACCTTTAACTTATGATGGTGTGATCAATTTGGGTCCATGGCAGAAAGCGTC